ATATATATATATATATATATATATATATATATATTTATGGGGGCCCGGAAATGCAGGATTGACTGGCAATCTTGGCAATATCCGGGCCACCCATCATGTGGCTCCCACCGGGGGTCCAGTGGGAGCCGCATGATGGGTGGCCCGGATGTTGCTAGGGCTGCCAGTTAGTCCTGGCAACCAGTTTCCCGTATATATATATATAATTACATCTAACGGTAAAATCTTAAGTCATTGCAATTAATCTTAATTGTGAATTTTTGCTGTGATTGAGTCCATTGCTGTGATTGAATATTTTCAGCTTTGATTGAGAGTTTCTGCATTGAATGAAAGATTTCTTTGACTTTCCTTCTTGATCCTTATCTGTTGTACAGGCCTTCAGACCAGTATGTTTGGATGACATGTTACAAAGACTTAAAAGTTTCAACATCATCTTTTTTAACAGTATAAGAGCAACTTCTTGAGGTTTTGGTTAATTCACTACAAAATAAAAAAAAAAATTAATAAAATAATAAAAATTACATCATTACAATAAAATTATAAAATTTATGTGATTCAATTTTAATTAATTAAACTTACATTTATGGGTACTCAAAAAAAAATTTACTATTAAATAAAAAAATATAATTTATAATATTTTTATAAATATTCAATTTTTATGTACACTCAAATCTTACTCAATATTTTTGAATCCAAGACAAACTCAAAACCACCCGGTAAAGAATTTTAACCACTCTACCCTTACTCACCCTCACCCTCAGCACTCTCAGCTCTCTTTTTGTTGGGCTCCCTCTTGCTTTTGGATTTCTCTTGATGATTTGTCGAATGGCTAAAGGTAAAAGCCAACATTTAGCTTTTTACTTTACAAAATTGTAAAATTGATAAGTTTTAACTCCTCAACTTATAACACAACACTTTTAATCTTTTACCTTATAAAGTTAGTAAGTTTTAATTTCTCACTTTATATTATTACATTTTTAACCCCTTACCTATACGAATTGAAGAAAATAATTAATTATATTATTACATTTTAACTCCTTACCTATACGAATTAAAGAAAATAATTAATCTTACCTTACAAAGTTGGTAGGTTTTAATCTCTCACCTTATATTATTACATTTTTAGCCCCTTACCTATACGAATTGAAGAAAATAATCATCACCTAATATCAGGGTATAACATTCTATTAATTCTGTTAACTGACTGTTAACATCCATTAGCATTCCATTATAAAAAACATTAAATTTAAATTCAATTTTATTTGTTAGTTCCATTAACGGAATGCTAACGAATATTAACAGTCAGTTAACAGAACTAATAGTCAGTTAACAGAATTTATAATTAGTTAACAGAATTTACAATTAACTAATAAAATTAACAGAACATTATAACATGATGTTAAGTGAGGGTTATTTTCTTCAATTTATATAGATAAAAGACTAAAAGTGTTATAGTATAAGGTGAGGGGGTAAAACCTATTTACTTTATAAGATGATGGGATAAAACCTATCAACTTTGTAAAGTAAAAAGTAAAAATTATTATATTATAAGGTTATGGATTAAAATCTACTAATTTTATAAGGTGAAGGGTTAAAAATTAATTTTAACCATGACCAAATGACTTTTATAGCCAAAACTCACTACCCACAATAAATGCAATTAATTGCAAAGTCGTAATCCAACCATGCACAACAGATATTTTATGGACGAAGTTGTAGCAAGCAAAAAAGACTCCCATTTTTTCAACAATATCAGCTGTCACAAGATTTCCCATGCAATCAAATTTCAAAGGCTGAAATTAGCGTGCCTTTTCAACCAATAATGAAGAGCTTACTTGCAACAATAACAGCATAATTTTCCACATCATTGATATAAGGATTTTTCTATACTTACTTTAAGGGTACAAAATAAAAAATTATTATTACATAATGATTATAATTTTTCTCTTAAAATAGTAAAATTTTACATTAAAAATAAATTATGATTTTTAATTCAAAATTGACTAATTAAAATTTAATACATATTATTTATAATTAAAATAAAAATTAACTTTATTTTTTAGATAAAAATAATAATTATTATATAATAATTATTTTTTATCTTGTCTAGAATAGATAAGCTGTATATATAAAGAAGAAATTTGGTGGTTCCATTAGGTCGTGTGAAGTCAACAAAAACTTAAATGGTAGAACTAAAAGGGGGTCTGAAAAATAAAATGTAGGGACTAAAAAATAAATCCTTTTGAATTGAGGGATCAAAAAGATGGTACAAAAGTTGAATGACTAAAATAGAGTTTTAATTTAAAAATAGTATAAAAAATAAACGTGTCTCCCATTGCAAATTATATTTAACTGTAAAATAAAAAATATTAAATAGGGGTAGTTTCCATGTTAGAGTGATCGTCTATTTATTTAATGCACTGCAACAAATTTATCATATAACTATGGACAAATTATATGACAAATTTATTATAGCAATGGTTTAAGTTATCCACGTCCTATAGTTAAAAAAACTGCATAATATTTTTTTAAAAATAAATTAAATAAAACAAAGGAAAAGTCTTTGCGCCTTCTCATCTGTTCTTCTCCTCTCTCCATCTTCTCCACCTTGCTTTTTTTTTTTTTTTTTCAATCCCTTCTCCTTCATTCTCCTCTTGTTGTTGATTCCTTGTTTGGTTTTCAGCGTTCCTCCTACTCTTTACCAAATGGGTACTTGACTAACGAGGTTAAATCCATTTTTTCTCAACAAAAAATTTTGCCCAAAAATCAATTTTATTCAAGCATGGTAAAATTCGTCAAAGATAAGACTAAGGGTAATGATTGACACACCTTTGGTTTAATACACCTATCAATATTTTTTGGTTTCGCTATCAAGTTTTGCGAGAGACATTTTTTTTTATTTTGAATTCAAATTTAAAAATAATAAATTTTTAATGAGTGTGTTGTGAAATATGTTAATTTAAAGAATGCATCAATCATTGTCTTAGAATTAGTCAACTACAAAAATCAATAATAAATTTTTATTTAACCTTTGGTATCATATATGGGTTCTACTGTCCGGAAGATGGAGAATGGAAAGACCTTAATTTAGAAGGAAAAGAGAACTGCCGCAGGCCAAACGTTAAAAGAGGAGGAACTGGTGCAAGTTAAAAAGAGAATGAAAGCATAAAGGAAAAAGGAAAACGGGCAGAGGAGGAAGAAGTGGGGAAGCGGAAGAAGATGCATGGCCTTTTCCTTTGTTTTCTTTAATTTGTATGAGATTTTCTAGTTAAAAATTTCTTTTAACCTTTTTTTTTCATAGAACGAAACAAGGGTTATCAGTTTTTTTTTTTTTTTTTTGGCCACAAAGGGATTAGCAGTTAATTAGAGGTAAAATAGAGAACAGAAAGAAAAAAAATGTGGGAACGAATAAGGGCGTGAAAAAAAACCTACTTGATAGTATTTTATAGTAATTTTTATCTGTTTCAAAATAATAAGTAGTCATTTTTTTTAATTTAAGAGAATAAATATTTCTTTTTCATGCTAATGCTATTGATATCACCTATTTCAATTATCCACTTTATTACAAACGTTTTCTGATATCTTTCTCCAGAATAAGTTAGCTAAAAATATAAATTCTTAATATATATAAAAAAGGGACGGAGGATGAACACGAATTTAGGAGGGTCCATAATGCCTTTTTTCCTATCTTATACAAATATAATATAAGTTACAATATTTATAACATATCACAAAAATTTTCAATAACGTTAACCTATAAAATATTTCACAAAGATTTATTGTTTTTAAATAATAGTTTATGATAAAATTTCAATTTTTAACTCTATTCTATATGTACTTAAATTTTCATAGGTGATAAAATATGAATTCGCAAGAACTCAAGTTAATTGTATCTTAAATTAACCAATAATAAAAGAAATTGAGCCAAATATTCTTAGCAAAACTGCATATAGTGGAATTTATGCACTAATTTTTGAAGTAATAATTAACAATACATGGATAATGTTGTCAAAGATAGAAAAATGTAATGTTCAATGAAAATCTAGTTTGTTATTCTTTATATTAATTATAGATATATATTTTGATTTATATCAAAGATGATTAGAATTTAAAATTAACTTGCAAAAACAAATATCACAATTTCAAAAGAATGTAAATATAAACTTTGTAGAATAGATGCCAATTTAAACTTTTCAAACTTTAGAAGATAAAATCAACTTAATAAAATTTTGGCACTTTATTATCCAATTAAAAGTAAGAAAAAAAGAATAAAATAAAAAAACAATAATATACACAACCAAAAGAAACTAAAAAGATAAATGAATATTAAGAAAAAGTAAAAGACTTTTTTTTTCCAAAATCTTAGGAGCGCCATGGCCCCAGTAGCCCTAACCATCCTTCGCCAATTAAAAATAAAAAAGAGTGTTTATTATTATTATTATTATTTTTGGAACAAGGGGAAAATATTACAACTATTCCTGTAGGGACTTGAATTTTAGGATAGGCCAAGGGTTTTTCTGCACATTGCCAGCACAGCTGGGGCCACCAATGCAAATAAAAAAGACGACAATCTATCACTGATCGAGGGTATTAATGTTCCATTCGTTCAGAGTTCAGTCCAAGAGAAGTTGTGTTGTAGACTGGGGCTTCTGTGGCTACATCTTGAATTGTTAACCCCATACAAAAAATACTTTTTTTTTATCAGATTATTTTTTTATTCCTTTATCATTTTAATCCTTTTTAAATTAAGTGGATAAAAGATAATTTAACAAAATAAAAAATATTTTTTTTATCTTAACAACTTAACCTGTGACTATAATCAAAATCCTAATGAAACAGAGACTATCTCACTAAAAGATCGAACTTTACTCATCAACCTCTAAGAACATCTTTATGCAAAGGGAGAGACTTATTTGAATCATTCTCCATGCTAAATCAATTTTTTGGATAATCTCTGGAATGTGGAAGGTGTTTTGAGATGGTTTAAATTCTTATCTGGTTGGAGAATTAATTTTGAAAAAAAGTAGTATCATTGGTGTGAATACTGATAAGGGTGGAATAGGAGAGCTGTTGATTTTTTAAGATGTATGGAATGGACTATCCTATTCTCTCATTTGGTGTGACACCCTAAATCCCACGTCAAGATAAAATGATGGTTCGAGTTTTGCAGGTGTGGGTCATGTCATGCTAACTATTTTGGCTTGTGTTAGTGTGGATTCCACATCAATTGGGATAAATCTTATACTTGAGGGTTAGTGGATCTAGTTTTAATTTTGATTGTCCTTGATGAGGACATCAAACACTTAAGTTGGCGGACATTGTGATGCCTCAAATTCCACATAGAATTGTGAGTGTGATTGATATATAATTGTTATGACCAACTATTGCTAACAACTTTTTTTTTTTTTTTATATATATATGAATCCATCTTATTCAAAAGAGAGGAACTTGCACGAGTATCTCAATTTCAATTCAAACATGGGTTTGTTTCACACTCCATGTTCTGCGAAATATTTACCATTTGAAAAGAGGAAAAAAAACAGTCTTTGTCTAAAGAAATGTGTTGAGAAAGGCAACCATCTCTAATCATTTAATCCACCTCACCCATGTGTCATATTACTTAAACTTAAAACTTTTTACTTCCACTAATAGAAAATTACTACCAAATTACTTAAGTTGTTAGGCATTACTATTAATAACTTGAGTTAAAGTTTTTGAGGGCTCATAAATCTTGGCTTGAAAAGTTGTTAGATCAGTTGTGGATTTCAGTTTGTAGACCTACATCTAATACAATGTGTAATGCTTGAACTTACTATTGATTCTTTGCTTGGTCCCATTAAACCTCATGATTTTAAAACATGTCAATAAAAAATAATGAATGTTTACTTATATATCCAACATTTCTCTTGTATTTTGGTCGTGTGGAATTTACTTAGGGGTTGCCACATTTGGTCTTTGGTATTCCTCACTGTTGCATGGTCTACATGGATGGCTGGAAACAACTAAATATTTCAACAAATTACTTTTGACCTATCTGAAGTGTAGGAGAAGCTACAGGTTAGATGTTTTTGTGGTTGAAAAGGAAAGCTAACAACTGTGTCCTTTCCTTGCATGACTACTGCTTAAATCCAAGTCCGTGTTCAGAAATTGTAAGATGATATATCAGTAAATAAGGGGTAGAGAACCCCTTGCACTTCTTATTAAGTAGATTTTTTTTTTTTGGATGATAAAAGAAAAAAAAAATTACTCAACCCACAACAAAGCCTCTAAGAGAGATTTCTCAAAATTTTCTTAAACAAATAAAAAAGTATCCCATCTTACCCACAAAAGTAAAATTTTAAAGTGAAAAAAAAAAAGAAGCTACAGGACCGTGTTTTCATCAAAATGAAAGACTCCCTATAATGGTGGGGAATTATAGGGAATCTTAAAAGAAATTCCGTTGTACATGCTTTAAGAAGACAGAACCACCAATCAGACTAACATCCTTTAAGAAGTAAGACCCACCAATCAGACTATCTTAGCTTTTTTTAAGAGTATTTCTTAAATCAAATCTTTGTAACTCCCAATGTGAGTAATTTTTTTTTTTTAAATCAAAGTCTATTAAAAGAATACAAGACATATTCTAACCCTTTTGATAAATTTCTTAAATATAAGACATAACATATTTAAGACATAATTATAACATCTTGCAGCTGGGAACAGACACCGCTTCAGGAAACAAAAATAACAACGATAAGTTTTTTTTTTTGAACAGCAAAATATAAGTTAATTAATAACTGAGTATAAATGAGTACTCAAACCCGTTTACTTAAGTTATATAGAAGCCTTTCAATGTTAATCCCATCTTTCAGACCCTCACTTCTAAATCTACTTTTTCCTCCCACAGTTAATAGAAAGACATGAAGCAAGGTTGGTTAACCAATCTGAAAGATTAAAATAACATTTGGCTTTTCTTGCCTTGATCCATGCAAAAGAGCGCAATTGAATAAGTTCAAACAGTTTGGCCCAGTTTACCTTCAAATTCTGAAAAATCTTCTCATTTGAGGCCATCCATACTGACCAAATAAATGAGTTCCATATGCAATCCCATCCTTCTGAAATTCGTGAGTTTGTGGTCCATGCTCCAAAATTTTGAAAGGTTTTCCAACAATCCTTGTGTAACGTGACAGTGATCCCCCACCAATTTGCACATGCCTGCCACAACCTTCTGGCTATACTGCAATTCAGGAACAAATGGTTAGAGTCTTCATCCTCATTTTCACACAGAACACACTTTCTTTCTCCTGTATCTTCAAATAACAACGATAAGTTCTTTTTATTTTTATTTTTTATTTTGAATTATATAATAAAAGTATTTTTTTTTATTTATTTACTAACCCCATCAACACGTATATAACTCAGACTTGTGATTTATTGCTTAATTTCAAGGAAAATTTACCATTAAAGCGCGGCACAAGTCATTAGCAACGACTTGAATTTGTATTAACTAATGTCAAAAGTTGTAACAAGAAATTTTTTTCCTCCAGTTAAGGGAGATTACTACCATATAAAAATAGAACCACCGCACAATTAAAGCCAATGAAGCAACATTCGCAGCCAACTTCTTCATTTCAGCCATGAACAAAATTTTGGGTCTAATCCTTTTGGTTTGCATCCATGGAATCAAAGGTTGTTTTGAAGAGGAGAAGATGGCTCTTTTAGAGTTCAAGGCCTTCGTTAAATCAGGTGGCTATGATACCGACGACCTGCTTCCTTCATGGGTTAGTCTTAATGACCCAAAGGATGACTGTTGTAAATGGGAGAGGGTCACCTGCGACTACTCCACAAAAGGCCATGTCATCGAGCTTTCTCTCAACAACACTAGGCGGTTTGATATTTCTTCTTTGAGCATATTTGATCCCACAAATAGTTGGTATTTAAATGTTTCCTTGTTTCAGCCATTCAAGGAGCTAAGAATTCTCAATTTATCCTTCAATGTAATTGCCGGTTGGATTCAGAGTAAAGGTAAGCTTGTCTTATCTCTGTACTTCGACTTCCAAAAACCTTCAGTATGTCCATTTCACTTCGCCCCCATTTTTTTTATTCCACTATGTTAGGGCAACTTCAGTTAGTTTGCACATACTTTTAACACTAATTCTATTGATATTAAAGATATACCCTTCTATAGGTTAAGTACATATAAAAAAAAAATTAATTTTTTTAAGCAGTGACTTCAAGACTTAAATGCCGAGAACTTACATACCCCTTAAATTTCTTTGGCTTCCTTGTCCACATACATATTACATGTTCTGCTTTCCTTTCCGTTCGATATGTTTGGAATCTGTCGACGTTTACAGGCCCCCTTTTCAATTATGAAACGAAGTTTTGTCCCCACCACCACCATACACATACACGAAAAGAAAGTTTGCCGTCCAAGATCCCACTTTCTCGGCAGAGGGGGAATTCTTGAAACCACTTTAAGGGCCTGTTTCGCGTTAGGGAAATAAAGGAGAGGGCACAAAATTCTTTTATGTGAATAAAGAAATTAAAGTGGAAGGGAGGGAAGAAATATTTTTATTTTCTTTATTCATGTTATAAAAATGAGTACTACACATTGGGTTTGACTCCCTTTTTAATACCGTTTAATTTAATTATTAAAAATATAATATAAATATAATTAATTTAATTAGTTTTTGTATCTTATATGTATGATTATATTTTTAAATTTATTTATTTTTAATTTTAAATAAAAAATAATTTTTTAATAAGTCCATTATGTTGTATATATGTTGAATTGAAGTTTGTATCAATTGGTGTCATTTATTTAAATCTATTAAATTAGGAAAAAGAAATGTCTCTTCTTTCCCTTTTATTTCCCTCGAAGCAAACAAATCCTTATGGTATGTATGATTGGGAAGGAAAGTTTCCCTCTCAACTTTTACATTTATAAGATTATTTATATATTTTCATACATAAATATTACAACAAAAGAAGAGTAAAAATAAGATTTTTAACCTTTATTTTTTCATGACACAATTCCTAACTAATAAACTTTTTTTTTTTTTTACACTTTTTGAAAGAAAAATAGTTTCCTCATTACTTTCTATGTATGGCACTGAGAAAAGATTCAAATAATGATATAAATTTTATCATTTTTAAATTTAATAATACAAAATTTTCATGTTTTTAACTTAGACAATAAACCTTTACTCTTTTTTTTTTTCTATTTAAAAACTTATTGGATAACTTTTTGACTAATTTTTCTATGTCAATTTTTTATCAAATACAAAAAAATTAACAATCTACTAAAATTCTAACAAAATTTGATTATAAAATTTATCAACTTGATATAAAGTACTTTCCTAATAAAAACAGGCCCTAAATGTGATTTGGTTTCATGGTAAGAATCCGTTTGGAAGGTAGATCCTGAAGCACACAGGCAGACTGTTGTATTTGTCAAATTCTGTACGTATAGTCTGATGTTCTTCTTAATTCTCATTTGCGCAGAATTAAAAGTTTTTGAGAACTTAGAGGTATTGGATTTAGCGGCCAATATGCTAAGTGGCTCGGCAGCTGCCGAAGGTGCGTAGACAGTGTCTTGCTTTCCTTTCCTTATTATTATTATTATTATTGTTGTTGTTGTTGTTGTTGTTGTTGTTGTTGTTGTTGTTGTTGTTATTGTTGGAGAGTAACTCTCCAAAGTGAATATATATATATACACATATACACAAAAAAATAGTGTAAGGCAGGTTGTTTTCTTAGAATTTTTTGAAAGACTTGTTTAAAAATATACCTACTAATTAATATCTTCAAAAATTAATTGTTGGATTGAAAGTTTTATTAATATAGATTATGTATGTCATTTTTTATATTAATCTAATATTTATAACACTTTGATAAAAAAAAACTGTACTTACTTACATACACTTAACAATGTTGGCAGTAATTAAATCTATTAAAATAATTTAAAAATTGGTATACTTAATTTATATAAATAAAACTTTCAATTCAACCGACGATTTTTAAAAATATTAATTAAAAAATGAAGTTTTAGACACATTCTTCAAAAAAATTTAAGAGAACGATCTATAAAACACTTTTCTTTATATATATATAAGTAGAGATCTCTTTACACATCAAGTTTTACACATCATATTTATATAAAATTTCAACCATTTATTTTTTTTGCTTTCAGTGATTAAGATTTATCATAATTTTTTAAATGAAAAAAATAATTATTTTTAATAAATATGAATAAATTTCAATTATTGAAAGTAAAAAAATGAATGATTGAGATTTTGTATAAATGTGATATACAAAACTTGTGTGTAAGTGAATTTTTACTATATATATTATCAAAGATGATATTCATTAAAAACGCATCAATATAGGTGGCTTATGGAGGGAGTATATTTTTTTAAGCTAATGGCTTACAAAAGAACAAGTCAAAATTTCTCCATTAAAGTACACTATATATGATGACCAATAGTTCATTGGCTAACCATGAAATTTAGCTTAAATTAAACAACAAATGATGAGAACAAACATAAAATTACTCAACAATAGTGACAAGGAAGAACTTAAATATAAAATCTCAAAGTTTAGAGTATTTTTATCTCATTACTACTATATGAAAATGGGTTATAATCAATGGCACAACCTGTTTGATATACTTCAAAATCTTTCGGTTATATACATGTGTGATATTAAATGTAATAGATGACAAACAAATTCTGTTAGTTATACACCAACATAACCAACAAATAGTTTGTTGGTTATATATATTTACTTTGAATTTGGGGTATTTTAGTAATCTAAAAGTTTGACTTACTTAAAATTGTAAAGTTCATTTCTGAGTCCTATCCAAATGGATAGAATATGAAGTATAAACTAATCGTGCATATAATTTAAAGTTTTAGAGCTGAATAAATAATTTTGAGATTGGATCCACTAATAAATAAGTCCTCTCATAGATCAACTTCAAGGTTCTAGTCTTGGGCCAACACTATGTATTAGGGTACTGTAAAAGATGCACTTTTAAGATCACTTAGTGAGGTTAATTTAAATTTCATAAAAATTGCCTCAGGGACTTCTAGAGGATCCAAATAAATAAATTAAAAAAAGAAGAAAAAACTAAAATTATATTTCATAATTTTTTTTTTCAATCAAACCAGACACAAAAAAATATATGACAAAAATATCATACAATTTAGACAACTATTAGATGGAGGTGGTTCCCTTCATATCAGGGGCTCTATCCCCATCCATTGGTCCCTATTTTACAATCTGGTGCAATACGGATTGTAAAATAGGGCACTCAAAATGTATTGTCACAAATGAATATTATAAATTTTCAATCAAACCAAATATATAATAATCTAAAATTCATATTATAATTAAAATTAGAATTAGAAGTTTTTAATCCAACCAAACACTATATGTATGGATTTCGAAATGAACTCTACATTAAACCATTACATAAACGGTGACTTAGTTTATTGTAATGACAACTAGCTATGTTGTTCTCCATGATTCATTTAAATATAGATCTTGCAAGTTTGTCTACGCTTCCCAAGTTGAAGCGACTTTCTCTGGAGAACAATATGGTGAATGAAGACATTATCAGTATTTTAGGCACACTCCCGTCACTTACATCTCTCGACCTATCTGACAACCAGTTAGAAGGACCACTTTCGAAGAGAGGTATGTCCAGTTCGGTTCTTAACTCTTTGTAGCTTTCGAATTTTCTAATATATTTTAATAGATTAATATAAAATTTCAAGACACATGTTTATTATCGTTCATAAAATTATATAAAACAAAGAAAAGGTTAATAGATATTGTAATTTCATTTGAGGTTAAAATAAAATACATTTTCATGTGAAAATTTTCTTGGTAATAAGTTGGAAGAAGCGAGAATTTTGGAAATAAGTTGCACGAAAAGATAATGTTGTTTATGGTTTATAGTTGGCCTTATACTTAAACGTATAAATTTAAGATGTCAAAAGACAAATATTATTAATAAAATTTTGTACATCTCTAATTTTCTAGTGGTACGATTATCATTTTCAACCGTGTACTATTTTAAAGCATGGAATGGAGGATTTGAGTTTAAGCTGTTCACCTCCTGTAAATTGTAAATTTGAGTCTCACAGAAACTCTTTTTCCACATCCCTCAATTAACCTGTAAATAATTATAATATATTAAAAAAAAAAAAACACAGAATGGGCTGTGAAAAATATCTTTGGAAAGAAAATACTTTATCTAAGACCTGTATTCCATTAGTCCCAAATTAATTACGCCATTATCTTCAGTGATAATTTAGTATAGTAATATTTCTTTTCGTTTCAACTTTAAAAAGTCTCTTAATTTGAAATGTTTAACTTTAATTATTTATTTTTTTATAAGATATCATTTAATGTAATTATTTCTATTTAACCCTTAATATATAGATATTAGTGTTTATTAATTGGGACTTAAAAAATTTAAAAAAAAAACCTTAAAATTACGTTATTTTAATATAATATTATGAAAAAAAATTAAAACACTCATTTTTGCTTTAAAATAAGTTATTTTAATATTTTTTAATAATAATTTATTAAAACAACTTAATTTTAAGATTTTTTTTCTTAATTTTTTAAAAATTGGATTCATAAACATTTTTCTTATATATCTATATATGCACACACAGTCTCACATACATACATATATCAACTTGAATGAATTTTTTTAGTCGAAATAGCAAAATTATTTAATGAGATTTAAGTATTAAGTAAAAAAAATTAATTGCAAGACACATGCTATATAAAAGTATTAATTAAAGTTGCTTGCCAAAATTCAATAATATACACGGTAATTTCATAATTTGGCAGGGAGGCAGTAAACAACAAGTTCCGAGGAAAAAAAATAGTAAAGAAAAACAGTTCCGGTTCTTTTTCCTAGCCCTTAAGAAAAACCTTTAGATTGGCAGCACTAGCAGGGCCATAAGAAAATGCCCTATTTTTTTATTTTTCCTATTTTAAATTTAGATTTTCTTATTATATGCTAATAAAAATTAAGATATATTAATTACCCTTTTTTATTAATTGTTACGTAAAAGAATAAAAAATTGATTTTAATTATATCAATGACTAATTAAAATCATGCATGTCATTATTTTTTTGGTATATTGAAAGGTTAGTTACTCAGCAATAAAAAAAAGTTAAATTTTTTATCTTAACTTTAAATTTAAGTTTCTAAACTAAAAGGTACTAATTCGATCAAATTTTTGTCAATGTGCTCATGTCATTATTATTGAAAATGAAGATAACTTTTATTTTTTTTTACAAATTAATACTTTATAAAATAGTATAATTAATACATCATTAACTTGTATATTTAGGATACAAGTAAGATAAATCTTTTTATTATATTATTAACTCTATCTGCAGAATTGGGCAA